TTGCTTCTGGGAGCTAATTTCAGGTTTTTACAATTCCCTCCTCTCTTTTGAGTTATCCATCACTGCCATTTTTTGGCCAGGAGGCCTTCCCCATCTTTCTTTATTCTCTTTTTCCCTTCCCTTCCATGTGCTGTGCCTTCCAAAATCCTTCAACTCAGGCTGCCTAGCCCTGAAGCCATTTCTATTTTTACTCTAATTTTTTTTCTACCAGCCCAAACATCATCATTAGTTTGTCTTAAGTCTTCAGTTTCTCCCTTCAAGAAATTATTGTGTTGCTCTTGCTTTCCTCAAATACTAAGAAAAAAGAAATCTAGTCTATAAATATATAAGGTCCGAAACCCTTCATACGGACCAGCCATCTTCCTTCATTATCTCTTGCTCTTCGTGTATTTAAGTTTCTGTTTTAATTATTCAATTTTTATATGTTTTTCTGTTACATTTTTTAGATTTTCTTGTGAACATGATATTTCTTCTTATTTCATTTTTTGGTCTTTGTGCAGACATATTATTCTGTACAAAGAAAAATTTAATTAATTTTTTATTTTTCATACCATGTTTCTGTTTATTTAGTGATACCCACTTAATAGGGGGCTTATGAAGGGTCTAATTTCTTTACTGTATCTGTTTACTTTAAATTAAACACATGCATATTTCTAGAAAGTTAGAGCCATTTTCATAGCTCTGTCACAGTACAAAGTTTAGTCTGATTTGCTGTCTTCTGTTGACAGTATCTTTCTTATTAGCTCTAGTCCATTTCTCATCCTCCATAAAATAATTGTATTTACATTACTTTTCTACATGTGATTTAATGAACTAATCTGGGGACTTCTTTTTTATCCTGACTTTTTTTTTTTATATATCTGTTAAAGTGTAAAGGAACAGCACGGGTTTTTTTAACCTAATCTATTTCATGTGATCCAAAGCACAAATGAAACTCTGCAACATATTCAGAAATTTAAACTGAAAAGTAAACCAGCAGTCTTATTCCTTGGAAAGTCCAGGACAAAATAACAAGAGGAAAAAATATAGGTCATATGGGCTGAATGTTTTTGGAGCCATGCTGTGGCAAAAATCTTGACCTGAATTGACCTGTGCTTGGCTATGTCTCTAGCTGTATGTCTTTTTACGAGGGCTGAATATTAATTGTTGAATTAAGTGGTAAAACTGGGAAATCAAGGCTCCAACACCACAGAATGCACAGTAGGACTTTCCACACTGACCTAGTTCTCACCCTCACAGTCACTCCACTGCATTTCCTTCACTAGTGTATTCTTTTAAGAAGGACCCAGTCTCCTTTATTGTCTCTATACTCTGATATGACTTCATTTAATACTCCCAAATCCCACTTCATTGACTTACGCAGCCTCTCCTCATTTCAGGCTCTGTAGCTACACTGCTCATCCTGCTTATTTTTATGGAACTGAAGTAGATTCAGCTGTGGTAGGATATTTCTCCTAGCTGAAGCTTTTAAAAAACAATAGAGAGTGGTTACATTAAAATGTCTGAGCAGGTTTTCACTGTAGAAGTCATCAAAATTACCTGCTGGGAGTGAGAACAAACACAAATACGCTGGAAAAAGTCGTGGTTGATGTTTGCTGTAGAGTAACATCAGTAGACTAACGAATATGTTTTCCATTTTATATGGTTGATTTAATCTGAATTCTCAACCACCTTTAACACATCCCTAATAATATACTTTTTCCAGTTTAAATCTGGATTGGGTGTACAGTTCTTTGTATACTTTCTTGGAAAAATTTCCTTCTTCTGTCCTCATGTCAACTGCTTATAAAGGAGACTTCATATGCAAAACAAGTAATTTATATACAGTGGGACATGGTTTGAGTTTTACTAAGTGGCCTGTCTACATTTTTTTCTCCATATAAGGAATATATCCTTCTTTGAAGCATCAGGTCTTTGTGCCTCTTACCCATGTTCCTAGACTTCTTTTTCCTTGGATCTAACAGTATCCTTTTGGAGACCTCAGAATAAATAAAAATCTGACTGAAACTACCTTTGATACAAGAAGGCCCTACTCCTAATGAAGTCTGAGTGGGTTATGTCAGTTTACTCAAAAATTGAATTTAGCCTCATGTTTTGTTGGGTCACTGTCACACTGTACTTTATTTTATATTTGCAACAGCCAAGGCCTGGACTGGGAGAGGTAGAAAAGCTCCATGATGAGATGTTACTAAGCATGTGGTTTTTTCAACAATAAGTACTTTAGAAATTTCTGTGCAATGTGGAGTTTTTATGTGAAGATTGGTTAGTATGCATCATTAATTTATTTGGTTTTCAGTGATAATATTGTTTGGTTAATCCTGATTCTTGATCTTTCTCACAATATTTACAAGAAAGTTTAAATACAAGAAAGGGCTTGTCCAGCCATCTGGCATCCTCTGGAGTAAGAAACCCTGGCCTGGAGGAAAGGCAAATGAGTAATGTAGGAGCAACTAATTAGCAGAGCACTTGCATCATATTTGTCTAACAGAATACACTAACCTGTACTTTCATGAAAGTGTAGGAGGTTACTTTTTAGAGATAATATTTTCCATGAACTTTAGAGGGAGAATTTATTTCAGTGTGGAGAATACTTCCTACAAAACTGGAAAAAAACACCCATTTCATTTTTCTTTTAGGGAATTTGATTGTAGCGTTCAAAGTGAATTCAAAGAAAACCTTTGCTTTGATCTGAATGCTGTACAATGAGTATTAATGTGAAGATGCTTTTCCTCAGAAGCTGCATTAATCTTCTGTAGTCATGTTTCTCTTGTATCAGACAAGGTTTTGAGGGTAACAGTGGCTGTTTTCTTCACTGCTAATATCAGATAGGCAAATATTTATCAGCTTCTATCCTCTTGGAATGGTTTGCTGAATATGTGCATCTTTGGCAAGGCTGACTTTCCAAGCAGTGAAACTAATCTTCATATGAGACTTACATAATTATCACACTGTCATCTCTGTTGAATGGTAGACAATAATTGCTTTGTATTAATCAATCTTTTTTCCCAAGTTTCCCACCAAGGCTTAGCATAGTCTGGTGAGAACATCTATCCCTTATGAAGCCTCTCATGGAGGCCTGTGTCTGTAAAGTACTTCAGTCTCAAAGGATTTTCTGAGAAGTAACATATAGTTGTCTGAGCAATGAACTCTGTGTATGTGAGAGAAAGTGAGAGAATGGAAAAAGATCTGAGAAGGGGATATGAAATATGAAATCTTGGGAGCTTTCTGGAACCTGCCAACTTAAAGGAGAAGTTTTACTTTTAAGGCTTGCAAATTCTCAAAGAGTACCTGCACTGAGTTTCACACTGCTAATGCTGTTGTCTAAATCTTCTTTAATGAGTTGGCATGAAATAATAATCTGATTTGGCAAGCAGTGGTGATGGTAGGTGCAGTAAGGAAACAGAAATCAGACCTTGGGGAGAAGTTGGGGAAGGGACATGACAATTCTAAATCTGATTACCAGTTACTTTAAAAATTTTAGCTGATGAAGTCTAAGCAAAGGCCTGACACTTGTGGTGTCCCTCATTATTCAATATTGGGAGTTGTTTAACTTATTCATCAATGACTTGGATGAAGGGGCAGATGCCTCCTCAGCAAGTTTGGTGATGGCACCAAGCTGTGAGGAGCAGACAATACCCCAGAGTGCTGTGCAGCCCTTCAGAAGGGCCTTGCCAGGCTGGAGAGATGGGCAGGGAGGAAATCCAGCAAAGCCAAGTACAGGGTCCTGCACCTGGGGAGGAGTGACCCCATGCACCAGCACAGGCTGGGATTGACCTGCTGGAAAGCAGCTGCACAGGGAAGGACCTGGGGGTTCTGGTGGACAACAAACTGCCCATGAGCCAGCAGTGTGCCCATGGGGATGAGAGGGCCAATGGTGTCCTGGGGGGCATTAGGAAGGACAGTGCCAGCAGGCTGAGGGAGGTGATCCTGCCCCTCTACTCAGCCCTGGTGAGGCCACATCAGGAGTGCTGTGCCCAGCTCTGGGCTCCTCAGGGCAGGAGAGACATGGAGCTCCTGGAGCAGGTCCAGTGGAGGGCAACAAAGATGAGTGAGGGATTGGAGCATCTCTCTTGTGAGGAAAGGTTGAGGGAGCTGGGCCTGTTCAGCCTGGAGGAGAGCGAGCTGAGAGGGGAACGCATCAACATCCGTAAGTATCTGAAGTGAGGCTGTCAGAGGATGGGGCAAGCTTATAAAGTGTATAGGAGTGATGACAATTGCTTTGGCAGCAACCTACCTTACTTGCTTAGTAATTTAAGCTTGTTCAAAAATGGGCATTTTAATATAGCAAAATGACAGGTAACATACCAAATTAGTGGTTGTGCTTACAGACCAGCAGTTACTTAAACAACTTTGATGTTGAAGATACAGCTGAACATACTAAGGGATCTATCTTGGATTTATGTGCTCTTTAATGTTAGATAGGACAAAATAACAGATATATTACATTTGCTTTCAACATCTGTGTTGTTACTAGAACTGGGTGCCAATCTGAAGCCCAGGTATTGTTACAGGCTGATGTTTAATTCAAAGGGATTCAGAGGAGTTTCAGTAATGCTTAGAAAACCTGCCTACCATCTAAGAACTGGTTTTTAGGGTTGTATTTAAGACCAACTACTGTCTTTATGAGACAAGAGAGTAATGGCATCCAGATGGCCATGGACACAGTAAAAATAAAGGGGAGGTGGGTGCGGGAAGAACCACTGCTGTGACCTGTTCATTTCTAGTCATCTGTTACTAGAGGGTCCATGTCAGGCCAGCTCAACTATCCAGATTTGCAAATATTTTTAGTGGCTCATGAGACTGTTGTGCCTATCAGTAAGACAGAGTTAGCGTGGCTAATCATAGCTAAAAGGAATTAATTATTTTTTGTCTTGGTACTGTCCATAATTGTACTTTAGAATCTTAATATTCTAAATAATTTCTTCCTTTTTAATGTTTTGTTGTTGCTGTTGTTTGGTTTGTGTTCTGACATTTTTTCATTTTTTTTCCCCTTTGTGTAGGGCACCAATGCCTCTGCTCTGGAAAAAGACATTGGCCCAGAGCAGTTTCCAATCAATGAACACTACTTTGGATTGGTCAATGTAAGTGGTCAATTTTGATATTAATTGAAATTTGCTTAGTTCCTTGGTTTGGTTTTGTTTTGTTTTTCTCTCTCCCCTGCTCTTATCAATCTTATTCTAATGCAGGATTGTCTTTTTTTTTAAGTGCTGCTCATGTTGCAATTTTAGGCAAAGTGGGTTGTAAAACTGTATCAGATGTTTGAAGATGGCTTCATGCACCCCCAGGGAGAACAGTTCTATGAATATTTCCAGGGATTAGAACATACACTTAAATAAAATTAAAAGTCTATTTTAGGTGTGAAATAGGACGGAGGAAGTGATGAAAGTATGTACAAGTTTAGATACAGCCTTCTGCATTGGCAACTCTTAAGAGGAGCTTTTTTATTTGACCAAGGGGAAAATGAGTGAGAAGAGTGTTTAATCACTTGTTTGTTCCCATAGAAATGATATAGATATAATAATTTTTTCCATTGAAAACATTAGTCATTCTGCTACTGAGCAGTAAGATAGAACCCAGATATGGAATAAACTTAATGAAATCCAGTACAAAAAATATTTTTCTTACAAGTGGAAACCTTTACTTTGTATCCTAGTTAATTTAGAACACCACAGTTTTTTCCATGAAGTGTCATGGTGGGTGTGGAAATATATTTCTACTGCAACTACTATATGGCAAAATGGCTGGTTTGTGACAGTGACAGGAGTCAGAATTTGAAAGAACAGCTAGTTTTGTTGTGATGCACAGGGATTAATCTTGTTTTTAATTCTGCATGGCAGTTTGGGAACACCTGCTACTGTAACTCCGTGCTGCAGGCGTTGTATTTTTGCCGGCCATTTCGGGAAAATGTATTATCATACAAGGCCCAACAGAAAAAGAAGGAAAACCTCTTGACTTGCCTGGCAGATCTTTTCCACAGTATTGCTACTCAGAAGAAAAAAGTTGGAGTTATTCCACCAAAGAAGTTCATATCAAGGTTACGAAAGGAGAATGGTAAGTGTAAAACTGAAAGGTATTAACGCATTGGTCAAAGAAGTATAAATAAATATTGAGCAATGTGATCATATTAATCAGAAACAGAGGTAAGATTTGTAAATTGCTTTTAGTACTTTGTGGGGTGTATTATTATTTTAGCATCTGTGTAAATGATACTATGCTTGAAATAACCATAGCAGATTTCATAGGCTCCCAGAGGTGTGTGAATTAGTGATGTTTTCACAGCACGGTGGGGCAGACCTTACTGTAGGGTGAGCTAGGGCTGGGAATAGGGTGACACTGCTGTAATTTTTAAATTTTTTTTTTTGTGGAGTATGGCAGAGAGAAACATTGAGGGCAGCTGGCAGTACAGAAACTGTGTGACCTAGGAAGGCTGCAGGCACCACCAATTCCAGAGGAATTGTCTGCAATGGAGGATAAGGAGCCGGGTACACGTGGGGTGGTCAATCCACTCCACATCAGCTGCTTCTCTGGCTCTTGGAAGTGGTGGCACAGTCTCACTTGGAGAAATATCAGACCCCTTTTGAACATTAAGCTGGCAACAGCATGTACCTAATCTTGTAGGAGCTCTGTCTAAGGGATATGAGGAACATCTTGAGATAGAGAAGCCTGTCACAGCTCCATTTTGGCCTGGATTCATATCGGTGTGCATGGTATGCTTAGAAACAGAGAGGCTTTGAATGAAGAGACAAAGTATGAGTCAAACACCTGGAAGAAATTGCTTCCTGGTGACAGCATATAAATGGGCAGACTGTTCATTTCAGAGCAGACATTTGAAATCATGAAAAAGTTAACTGTGAGTCATCTAGTGATAAATGCCCCCACACTGTTGGGGATCACTTGTAAAGACTGGATCTTATGTTTTCAGCTTTTTTACATTAGTGCCAGAGTCAGTGTGTATTACCCTGCTTATATGCCCAGGCTAGACACTACAAAGCCAATGGTTCTGTACAATATTTTCTGAGGAAATCCATGTGAACTTTTTCAGGAGCAGGGGATAAAAATACACATTTCTGGGAACACGTATTCTTTTTTTCTTTGACATGGTAGGCGAGTTAAGCCTTTACTGGAGAAATCTGTACTAAATCACCACTGGGATATTTTCCCCTCTTCCTGCAAGGAATTTGTATTGAACAAGACAAGTCTTTTCTCATCAGACTTGTGTGTGAAAAATAAGCTTTGTTAGGTGGTGTTATTATTATTAGTTGAAGTGAGTTAACCTTGACTGGCTGCCAGGTACCCACCAAGCCTGTCTCTCACTCCTCCTCTTAGCAGGGCGGGAGGAGAAGATAAGAGGAAAAAACCTCATGAGCTGAGATCAAAGTATTTTAATTAAAAAAAAGAAAAAGCCAAAAATTACACGCAGAAACAAAGGAAAGCCAAAGGAGATTTATTCTCTGCCTCCCATCAACAGATGGTTTCCAGATACTACCTGGGACATAGGGCCTTGGCCTGTGTAGAACTTTGTTTGGAAGAGATATATCTTAATAATGAAAACCTGCCCATCTTTCTCTTAGATTTTAGTGATGAACATGAAGTTACATGGCACAAAATATGACTTTGGCCAGTTTGGGTCAGCTACCTCACCTATGTCCCCTTCCCAACCTCTTTCACACTCAGTCTACCAGACTTTGGGCGGGATGAGGAACAGCCTTGATGCTGTGTGAGCGCTGCTCAGCATCAGCTGTAACACTGGTACATCTTCACCTCCATTTTAGGCACACCTACAAAGCACAACATCCTGTGGGCTACTGTGAGGAAAGGTAACTCCATCCCAGACACAGTACACAAGTGTGTGTCACCATCCTATGGCTTCAGTTTTCCCAGCCATGTGGCTTGCTGTCAAAACTCTGTGATGTTCCTGAGTGTCTGAGGGACTTGGAATATGGGGATGGAAGTCAGTGCTGACTAAAGTTAGGCAGTAAGTGTCTAGTGTAAGGAAGTAATTTAGGATGAGTCACTCTCTTGCTTACTTCATTGACTGTAATGGGAGCCTACACAACCAACTCCAATGAGTGTAACTATTCTAGACAGCTTGAGTTACATGAGATGAAGCTTTCCCCCAAAGTAACTTCACTGAAACCAAGGTGTCTGGCTGCAAAACTGTTCTTTGGGATGATTCCAAATATTTTGCTGAGCAAGGGCCAGTACAAGTACTTGGGGAAAAATATAATTTTCTTTCTTTGAGGAAAGGATATTCAGCTGTACAAATCTTGACTCTCTTCACAGATCTCTTTGACAACTACATGCAGCAGGATGCACATGAGTTTTTAAATTACCTGCTCAACACCATTGCAGACATTTTGCAGGAGGAGAAGAAACAGGAAAAGCAAAATGGAAAACTGAAAAATGGAAACATGAATGAAGCTGAAGAGAACAATAAACAAGAACTGACCTGGGTGCATGAGATTTTTCAGGGAACACTGACTAACGAAACTAGATGTTTGAACTGTGAAACCGTAAGCATTGGGATAGATTTTTTTGTTGTTGTTGCCCATTAATAGATAGATACATTTTGTATATATGAATATATGAATCTTTTCAGACATCTGAGAATTGTGGATATTCCTGTAGAATTTACTTCTTGAAGTGAGTATATTCTTTTCTAAAAATTTATTTTTCTAAGCATTACTTGGCTAATCTCTGCCAAGTTTTGCTGTCCTAATACATATGTCTACAGTTAAAATCCTTGCTAGTGAATCAGTACCTTTCCGTATCACTGTAACCTTGAGAGCAGTTATTCACATCATATTTATAAAAGTGAAGCGTTAAGATGATTTGTGTTTATTCCATCTTAAGAGTCTGACAGGTATACACAGGGTTCATTTTTAACAAACTGTTTTCTTTTATCTCCCTAATATTTTCTAGAGTATGATGTCAGTTTGAAATCCCTTATGTTTGAGCTATAAGTAAAAATTAATTTTTGTTGGGAAAACTGATTGCAAGTCTCCTATTGATTACTACTGTCTTTTTCAAACACATGCTCCTATTGAAAGAGAAAAAAAATAATTTTTTTAAATTGGTCCTGTGAGGTTGCATGAAAGAGTACCACAGGAAAAAAAAATCATTGAGGAGAACAGCAACACTGACCTTCCACAAAGGTTGGAATTAATATCACCTAACCTTTGCTTGGTAAAGCAAAGTTGATAGGCATCAAGGGTGAACTAGTTATCTCTACTCCAGCAGATGATGGAGATTGTGAAGGAGCTTCTGCAGGAAACTTTCTCCATCTGTCTCTAGGCTGTTTCAGGAAACAAAGTTTTTAGCAGTATCTGGTGTTCTGTTCCATACAGCTTGTCCTGGCTCCATGGTGTCACTAAGCTGTTGCAATTGTTGGTGCAGCAATGCTGAGAACTGGGTTAACAAACTGATCTGGCCCAAGAATGACATACTTTTACTAAGATCAGTGCTGCTACTATGGGCTTCCTCAAAGAAAACACAACATTAGATTAGCAGCATTAAGATGGGAGAAGGTGCCCAGAGAAGGTATCTTCAGACAGCAAGCTGAGGTTTACACAACTGAAGTTTGGTGGGATGAACTCTACCCATGTCCTACCAGATGAGTAAAAGAATATAGTCTGATATTTCTAATCATAAAGAATAGTATTCCAAAAAATATGTGTGGCTTTTCCAGGAACTTGGTCAGAGGAGGATGGTGAGGAGAAGAGATACAATGATAGTTGATGTAAGATGTTGGAGCAAGTTTGGAACAAGCTTGATTAAGTGAACACATGACAGAGATACTGAAAATTAATTATTCAATCTATTTCAACTATAAAATCTTGGGTAATAGCAAGTTAAAATAAGTGAAAGGTTAGAATTATTTTTTAACTGACAAGCTTCTCTAAATAGTTGTGGCTTAATTCTAAATAATTATCTAATGTTTACTCTGAGAAACTGGTGAAGTGAGGATGTGTCCTTGGGTAACAGTATAACTGCACAATTCTGTACTTGTAACTCAAAGTGATGAAGCTTTATAGAAAATGTATCTTCTCTGTAGCTTCCTCTGAGTACAGAAATACTGTAAACTCAGGATATTTTTCCAGTGTGTTTTCCTTGGATTAGTGTAACTTGAAATCTTAGGAAAATAGTAAAACAGACTGAAAGTTATTCCTTTGCTAAAATATTCATAAGTAGTACATGAAAGGTCATTCAGATTTCAGCAATTCTTATTCTCACTTACAAAGAGTGCCGTTTGAATCTGGTTTTCCAGCTACCTTTAGTTTTAATCTGTATTATTCTAGCTCTAAGTAGTTCATCTTCCCTTCCAGGAAATACTTGATGTGCAGGAATCAATAACAGAATTCCTAGCTTTTTGAGGCATTCAGATGATGCACAATGCCTGCCAAGGACTTTTTCAAGTGTTTAAGTTCTCATGATACTCAGTGTGTCTGACAGAACTCTAGCTCCAGCTGTAGAGACACGATGTTCTCTGAAGCTTTGTTGCTTTATCTTTCAAATTTTAGCTGTATATTTATACTGCAGTCAATTGCTGCCAGTTTTGTGGTTTCCTGTCCTCTGTGGGTCAAGTCAGAGTCTCAGGGAGGATTTTTGTTTGAAGAACTGCTGCTCATTTCAGTAGGGTGTGCATTATGCCTCTGTACATCTTTGATAATACCAAAATTAATCCAGCCAAAGGTGTTTCTCTGCATTCAGGTCTGATATGGGCTGCATTCACCAAGCTTCTAGTATCCCTGACATAACAACAAGTATGAGCTCAAGGTGGTACATAACTATCACATCCACAGCACTGCAAAAATCTGTGTGAGGGACTTCTGCCAGAACAATGGATTCATCTCCTCACAGAAGTTTTTGATTTGGACTTCACTATTTTCCCATCTGTTTTAGTTATTCTAAAGAAATACAATAGGAGACAAAAACATGGGGTGTTCATGCAACATTTTATAAAAACATTGTTAAGAGTATGACTGAATTCATATGCAGTAAGTATTTCTGCAGTCTTTTGACTTAGTTGAAGTATTACAAGAATTAGCCATTTGGGTGATTTTTTTGTTAATATTACTTCACGTTTGAGATTAAACACTCTTAGTGAAAAATAATTTTCAATGCAAAAATCAGGATCTGTCGTTCTGAAAATATTCAGACTTAAATTTTTTAGATAAAAACTCCTCAGTAAAATTTTTCTCCTCTTGTTCTGTCTAAAAAAAAGATTGGCAACACCAAAATGATTTTGCAAAATAGTATCACTGAGCCATTTTTACCTTTAATATTTAAAATTTCTTAAATCAAAATATTGACTAGGAATAATGTCCAATGGGGAAATGTAGCTGTGTCAACCAGAAATATAAACCCACACTTTTCAATACTCACTAGAGAGAAAGGATAACATGGTAAAGTATGACTTTTGTGACAGAAATATATTTGGAAATTATCTTCATTGCATCCTTAATAGTGGAAATAATTATGTAAGAATAAAATGTGAATGTATATTGTAATATGTTATACAAAAAAACAAATTTCTGAGAATAAAAGAAAGTAGGCTGTGTTACATAACAAGGAAACATACTTAATGCACCAATCCCAGATGATACAAGGGAGAATGCTTCACCTTTACTGAACAGTAGGCTGTCATTGATGGCCCATGGTTGGTGGGATTGGGTAAGTGGAATAGACAGAAGTTAAATTATATGAAAGCTGGATTAGTAGAGTTACTAATAAATATCACACTGAACATTAATCAAACTGAACTAAAAAAAAATTGAAGCATTGAAATTAATTACTTTTACCTAAGAACAATTTGTACAGAAATAAATATCTTCAGCATTTGCTAAAGGTTTAAACAGCATTTAGATGTATGGCATCTCTGTTTTACATGTATGTGTTTTGCAACAGGTTAGTAGCAAAGATGAAGATTTTCTTGACCTTTCTGTTGATGTGGAGCAGAACACATCGATTACACACTGTCTAAGGTAAATGAAAGCATCTTTTCAGCAGATAGCTCTAACTGCCAGATTTTTCAGATCTAGTAGGTATAGAAAAATACAATAACATTTCAATTTGAACTTACCCTAAGCAAGAGAAAAAGACTTTAAACAGGATGTTTCCTCTAATCACAAAATATACATTATTGTATTTTGCTTTCCGCCCTTTCTCTTTCAGTGTTTCTATTTGAAAGAGGAAAATAAATCAACTTTCAGGGAAAATAATTGATTGCTTTGTTGTCTGGAAGAATTGCTGCAGAATTGTAATTGGCTTCAAAGAGATTTAAATGTGCTTGTCTTTAAGCTTCTACAGAAGAGCTTTGTTGATTAAGATTCATAGACATATTAAAAGTTAAGTGTGTGTTTTGCAGAATGAGTTCTAGAGTCCATAGAGGGCAAAATATTTCAAAAGTTATTTTATTATCAGAAATAGCTTATTCTGTGTCTCATCCTAAAATTATGTGAAGTCTTTTATTCCAAATTTCTGTTCTGCTCTTAGTATATTCCTAACTTAAAAAATCTAGACATCAAAAATTTTTCACTCTTGCATGAGTGATTATTCTGAGAGATTTAAAATGTCCAGAGTTTTGACATTAATACAACAAATCACTACCTATATTTAAGACAATATATTGCTGTTCTAAGGTAATGATTATCAATTGGTCAAACTCCTTCAAAATTCAAAATTGCTGTCAAGGTTGAAATTGCATTATTCAGTTGTTCTGGAATGCCTAGGAGGGGTTTCCTGGTGTGCCATCCCTAGGTGAGAGTTAAGAAAGAAAGAATGTGAGGTACTAACTATTTCCTGAATCAGAAAGCAGTGACTTCTCTGTGAATATGACAACTGTACTAAGTAGCTTCTGTAATAACTGAAAGTCTTTTCCTTCTCAATTTCTGTTCAGTCTCCCTTAGGATGCTGTAGCAGTCCTTAGCCCTCAAGTAGCCCACACTGCATTAATTAGCCTGCCTGTAATAGGTGAGCAAACCAAAGAGAGGCTTTGGAAAGCAGTGCATTCTCTTTTTCTGCTGTAGTCCCTTTGCCTCTTCATAGTAACCAGTAGCTGAATCTTTGTTGGTATTACAGGTTTTTGTTTGCACACTTTTGAGTTCTTCACTGGAGCCCCTACCCTGAACTTGCCAGTATTACTTACCTTTCCCTATGGTGTTCAAAGTCAGTTTGAAATCCCACTGAGCTGCAAGGGTGCTGCAGTGCCTTTGGAAGCCCTTTCTATCTGAGTTTTTATTTGGTTCTCTGGTACTGGAGACGGAGCTCTGACATTTTCTTACAGCTGAGTCTGGTGAACATGTTAAAAACTTCTGCTGTATAGATGTTACCATCTGTCCTTCGGCTTTCTCCTGTTTTTTATTTACATTCTTGATTTTTATCTTCTTGGAAAAGTTTTGTTGGGAATGGCCATTTTATGTAAAGGCAGATTAAGCACTTCATTAAAAATACCAATAGCATTTCTTCTACTGAACAGACAGTGACTGTGCTTAAGAGATGTAAGAACTGCATCTGCACAACTGCAATCAACAAGTGAATGGTGGAGTTGAAAGTGACTCCAAGGAGGTTATCCCCTGTTTCATGTCAGAGAGGATGCTTATCCAACCTGTTCCAAAAGATCTTTTCAGCAGTATTATCTTGATTGTCTATCCCAGTCCTTCTTGTTCTTTAGTACTAGTAAGTTTTTCCTGCTGTGTAATATGAATCTTTGGTGTTTCAGTTCAAGCCTATTTCTACTTGCCCTGAGTACTTGAGATATAAACCAGGGGTTGCCCCCATTCCCCTTCAGTGGCCTTTTACATACAGGAAAAATGTAATCACTTTTTAAAAAATTTAAACAGCCTAAGGTCATTCAACTTCTCCTTCTTAGGCTATCTTCTCTGGATCTCTACACATGTTTATTACTGTTCAGCCTTCTCTCCTATTGTACCTCTCTCTTGAACTCTGTCTTTCTTGAAGTTGCTGTCTAGAACAGGACATAATATTCCAAGAGAGATCAATACAATCCTGAGAAAAATGAATGCCCTAAGTCTCATTATGCATTCCAGTGTAGAGCCTTTACTCCAACAGCATGACATGCATTTTGAAGTTTATCCATTGCTCCTTTTGGAAATAAAGGAAAGCAAAATCCCGATTTTTCTTTTCTTGAGGTGGTACAGGCCACTATTTACAGATTGAATAGGAGGAAAGTTATCACCTCTCATCTATTCTATTGTGTTTTATGTTAGCAACATTTCTGCTTCTGTTTAGAAAACATATATTCAGTTAGAATATGGATTTCCTCTCATTGCTGCTGGTATTATGCATTATTACACAAAATGTAAGTGGTTTCTTTCAATGGGAACATCCTAGTTATCACTCTTTTTGCAATCTTTGCTGTTTCCTTTTTTTTAACAACTGCTTTGCTGTGTCTTAATGGCTTTAAGGGCTGCTGCATTTAAAAGGTCAAATACAGAAAAGCTGTGCAAGATAACATTTAAGTATAATGAATCTCTTTACCACTACAGATGACTGTTCTTTTATTTCTGTAGTTTTTCAAAATGTAAAATGTCCTTGAGTGCTCAAGATGTCTAAAGGACAGAAAGAATACAAGTCTCTGGCATAGTTTAAACCCACAGGATAGACAGCTGGGCCTGAAGCAATAAAAGTCTTATAACAAATATAGTATGTATCCATTGTTTTTATATCCACTTGGAGTTGCAATGTTTATCAGTCAGTTTGATCCTGACTGGTGTAATAATTGATATTACACTAATAATTCTCTCATCTCTTAAAACACAAAATTAATACTATTTATGCATATAAGCAATAGGAAGCATCTTTCACACTGTAGCAGAGAGGCTGTAGAAGCTCAAGGTCAATGATAAGTTAGTACATCTTGAGCAGGTATATTTAAAATTTTATTGTCCTTGCTAAAATAACATATAAGCAGAATGCAGATTGGATTATTAATGGAACAGGAGAGAGTTAGACGTATCTTGAAACTAGCTTTGCAGGTCTAGAGAAGGGTTCTGCAAAGCTGTGGCTCTTGCACATGCAGACCTTGGGAATTCCAGTCAGTGATCTGCTGTTTTTACTGTTCAACATCTATTAGAAGTGCCATGCTGAAAATTCTTGATTGCTGAAAGAGTTACTGAAGTTGAAATTATTTCAATTCTAACTATTTTTCAGTGAAACATATTTTTCTAATACTACCAAGAATGGATACTACCATGCTACTAATAAATAAATAAATACTACTAATAATAAATTATAATACTAATAATAGATATTAATAGCATCAGAATAACCAGTATATTTTAAACGGAATTCAGAAACTCTTCGAGTTTAATTAACTTCCATGGGAGACTTGGAATAGAACAAACCAATATCTATCAAATTGCTACCATCTGCACGTTTGTTCATGTTAGAAAAACATTTTTCCTTGCTTCACTTTGAAATGAGAAAAAAACTAATAAATTCCCCAAATTTGTTTGCTTTTTTTAAAATTTTGACTGTAGGCTTTGAAAATAAATATGAGACTCTTTCTCTAACAGCCAACCTAAAACTTTCACAGGCACATTCTACTGAGTCTTACATTCCCTGCACATATAACTCATCTTTAATATTTTCTAAAATTTCAGCTCTTCACTTACCTGAAAGGTTACTGTGCTTTTCAGAGGAATTGGCTGAATTAAATTAATTTTATGTTTAAATTCAAATGTGAAATCACATATTGAGATCAGTATTTACCACTGAAGCAAATCCTTCCCAGTAAAATTTTCTTTTCTTTTAGATAAAAAATAGTACTTATGATCAAAATTTAGATGTAACTTATCTTCCAAAATATGTATTTTTTTCTAAATTTCAGCTTTTTCTCCTTAGTGTTAAGACCTTATAAAGAAAATAAATCAGTAAAAGTAATCTTAGTTTTAAAAAATATTATGCAGTCCTATGAAGTGCTTCTTTGTCGTGCTCTGTCAACCTTAAGCTTTTGTGAAGTTAATTATCTAACTTCTAATATCTATGCCCTAGCAAACTATGTAGTCTTCATCCCTCCCACCTACTCCTATAGTGATGATGTCAGGAAGAAATAATCATCCAGAGTCCTCCCTTTGCCTTGTAAGACAATTCTGGTGCTGCCTGCTCTGAGAGCAGGCTGAAGTTGCAGACAGTGGGGATTCAGCCTCCATGAATGTGAATTGCAGTGATAGAAGTGAATTTATTAGTGTCTGAATTTGCCTGGAGTTCAGAAGCCTGTCAAGTACAAGGTAGGGACACTCAATAAGACAGTTCTGGAATTCTAATATAGCTATTTAGGGCCCAAAGTCACAGGAAAACCTATGTGTTTAAAGTGGAAGATAGGTGCTTATATCTGCATTCACAGTTCTCAAAACTCCTGCTCAGCTGCAATGTAACACAACAGATGACAAAAATAATTACTGGGTTTTTTTTTTTTTTTTTACAGTTCAGTGGTGTTAGGTGCCTTAAATTTTGCTTCAAAGCATATCAGCACTGTGACTTCCAGCAAATCTTTTCTGTGAACTGAGAGATGTTATCAGACCAGCCTTCCACTGCCTTTGTCACTTTAAAAGCTCAATCCAGAAATATCTCCAAGTGTATTTACTTGATCAGGATTTACAAAATTTTCTATACCAGCTGCCTCTTTCCTCTTTTAGAAAATGGAAAAGTATAATCTATAAACTTCTGGATAACTGTCCAAAAGGTTAGAGGATGCAGGAAACTAAGTTCAATTTATTTCTTCTTTGTAAGAGGATTCAAACCTTTCTTATGGAAGAACACCATAAAACATGAGATATTGGAGCATGGTAGAAGTGCACCTAAAGTTGCTTTATTCTGCAAATAATTTAAAAAGAAATAGAATGGATTGAGTGATTACACCCAAGTCTGGGCAGGTCCTTTATGCAAGATACCAGACAGAAGTCACATTTTGAGACACCTGACCTTTATTTGTATCATACAGAGGGCCTCAACTCCCAATATAACTTGTCATAGCAGCCAGATACCCTAACTCTGTTTGCAAACCCCAGTACAGTCGCTTCAGATGCTTTAGAAAACTGGAATGGGTGAAGATTTCATCCTGTGTGTCTTTTGGGCTCCAGTTCATCAGCCCAAGTAAATGTATTCATATCCTTAAAGAACTGATGATTGTATTTTTTTACAGAGACTTCAGTAACACAGAGACACTATGTAGTGAACAGAAATACTACTGTGAAACTTGCTGCAGTAAACAAGAGGCACAGAAGAGGTAAGCAAAGAGCAGGCTGTTTCACCATGCTCCTCCCGGGCTCTGGCAAACTTACTCCTTGATATTCATTTTGTTTAAATACCTAGAAAGCTTTCATCCCAAATGCATTCTCTGTGTGGATGAGAGCCTGCAGACAAGTTTAAAGGCATGTGTCTTAGTCTAGAGGCCACTTCTAGTTGATTATTGTTACTTACAAAGTGCTTTTATAATGCAGCCATTTGCTTATTAAGGGAAGAAAGAATGGCCTTGAACTGGTCAGGTGTTCATTATATGCATTCTTAATGGTTTCACAGGATGAGAGTAAAAAAACTGCCAATGATTCTTGCCTTACACCTCAAGAGATTCAAGTACATGGAGCAGCTGCACAGGTACACGAAGCTGTCCTACCGGGTCGTGTTTCCCCTGGAGCTGCGGCTCTTCAACACCTCAGGCGACGCCGTCAACCTGGATCGCATGTACGACTTGGTGGCTGTGGTCGTTCACTGTGGAAGGTGAGGGGCTCCATGTGTGTCACAGGCTGCTGGCAGGTGTTGGCCGAGGGCTGAGCTACCCCTGACAAAATATGGGGAGGATGGACTTACAGCCTGCTGCTGCATGGGCTTGCTTGTGTCTTGGGCTGGACCATTTAACCGGCATCCCTCATCGTAAATCTGTACTTGTTTAAGAAATAATGTCTCAGGTCTCCAAAAGTCACAGGTTTGGCTTAAATTGATAAAACTACCTCCTTCCTCACAAGACCCCTTAAAATGTTGGGAGTCAGGACTCTGTGAGGGCCAAAGGCTGTCATCATGTCATCTGTTGTGAGACATGCACGTCATCATGTAGGTCTCACAACAGATCATTTTGGTCCATTTCCCCCCCTATACTTAGTTCTTGCAGTTTTAAATGCATTTGATGCCTACCATGAGCAACTTGTTAAGTGCTCTGTAGAATAATTCGCTAAATGATCCTGGCACAGATGAAAATAACACCTTTAGCTTTCAGCTGATTAGCTTTGCAACAACTTAAAATAAAAATGGAAAGGACTAAATGTCTAGAGTACCACTACATGTGAATTTATCATGATTTTTATAACATTTAGTCATAATTCTGCATTCATAAAGAAATGTGACTTTTCAAAATGGACTCAATAGTACATTCTAATATTTTGGGTTTTTGTTTTTCTTTCTAGTGGACCTAATCGAGGGCATTACATTACTATTGTGAAAAGTCATGGATTTTGGCTCTTGTTTGATGATGACATTGTAGAGGTCAGTATGCTGAAGGTCATGAGCACAACTTTTGTATTAATGTATGCTTCCCTGCTTGGGGTTACAATTCTGATCCAGAACTGGGTAGAGACTACCAGTCTACAAAGCCACAGTTTGGTTGTAATGTTTATTTCAATTCTGTTAGGAAGGAAGATTGTAAACAAAATTATTAGTCCTGTAGTTTGTGCTCTGTCAGTGTCAGAGGGATTTTTTTATTTCATAGCAAGATCAAATGTTTTTAATACCAGACTTAAAGAGTTTAATTTTGAATGTTTTCTGTATCTAAAAAAATAAATTTAATTCATTAAAACCATTTCACTTGGTAAAATTGAACTAAGTAAAGCTAGCATTACTGTAGAATTTTCAGTTTTGAATAGGGAAGTTACAAGAAAGTCTGAATTGTGTTGTTGATTTGGGATTACCTGAATGTAGATTAAAGTAGAATCTGTCCCACAGCTATTGCAGATTCTGTCTGAACACTCTGGAATTCATTCTTATGCAAACCCTTTTATGTCATTGTGGCCCACTGGCATAACTGCGGTTTTGAGTCTGATTTCCCGAGAGGTAAGGAAAGTAAGAACTGGGATGCTGGATGGGGCAAGTCTTGAGGAAGATTTCTGAAAATTTGAGAAAGATGGGAACACATGGTCACATTTATGTGTTTTAACAGTGTTTATTACTGTACATTTCAAGGATTCTCTCTGTTATTGGAAAAGGCCTAATTCAGTTATGTTCAGTGGCAGAAACATGCCTATGAATTTCATAAGTGAGATCAGCAAGGCTCAGCCCCTAATCTTTACCCTTTCACTGCTTAAATTGCAAACAGAATTTGCTAATTGCAGTAATTAAATCTGTACTTAGTATTTGTTTTATCTAACAGCATATTAATAAAATATTTATTTTGCAGAAAATAGATGCTCAAGCTATTGAAGAATTCTACGGTCTGACCTCTGATATATCAAAAAATTCAGAGTCTGGCTATATTTTATTCTACCAGTCAAGAGAGTGACTTGGCAAACCGTGGTGACTGCGCACAAGGATGCTGCACATAGAGGAAGGCACCAGCTCCCCCAAAGTGACTTTTACACAGCCCACATCCCTGATGGTTGAACAACAATACACTGTCTCCTGTTCCATGGTTTATGTGATGCTGACTGTGACCGTCCATTCTTGACATTCAGAACTTTGTTTTAGAGGGCGGGTTGTTTGTAGTTTTTAAGTCTGATTGAAGAGCTAATTGAAGTCAGATTTTAGTGGAATTTATATGGACTAACATTTACAGATAATGAGATTTGGATGTTAATGTCAGCTGTTAAACCCAATCCAGCTAGAGTAGTATTTTATATGAAAGTGTTCATTACATTTAGGACAAAATTATTTAAAACTTTCTAGATGGTTTTGGAGTGTGTTGATTTACAAAGCATTCCTTTAAGTACATCCTGACATATACTTACCCCTTTTAAGTGTAAGGAAAAAAATCAGTTTCATGTTTATTTAAGTTGTGGTTATATAGGGGATTTTTTTACATGTTGCTCTGCTGCAGAAAAGATATTCTTCCAAAATCATTTCAATTTTGATTGTTAAAAACTTTCAGAGTGTAACCACAGACCTAAAATTCACATAGAGGGATTTAAATTACACTGGAACTAAGTAATTCTGTATGTTCAGCCACTTTGTCATGAGACAGTATAGATGAGGTGAGATTTCAGAACTTACAGAGCACTGGAATGAAGGGAGTAAGATCGCACAAATGATACAGAGATAAGTTGCTTTTATAAAGATTGAGCTTAGATTTTTGTTAAAATTATGTAGTTTACTTGGATTGTGTTGTGATTGCAACACTGCTCACATGTAACATATCCATCAGGACTGAAATTATCCAGTCCATTTAAATAAGCATTGTTTGTACATATGACACAACTTGATCCTGCAATTTTCTCAATATCTTTAGGTCCCATTTTCATTTCTGAAGACAGAGTCAATTTCTTAGAAACATGATACATAGCAACCACTAGTGTACATGCTACCATGTATATATCATCCTTAACATTTTGGTCATATTTGACAGAGTTTTGTCTCCACAGAAACAGATAGGGATCTGGAGTGCTGAATTTCAAAATTAGTACAAAAGACCAAGTTTGTGATTTTTCTGGATTAATTTGGATGGCACTTGTCATGCACTGGCTAATAAAATTTCTGAATTCACCTGAATACCTGAATTTGGCAAAGAATAAATGTAGAAGAAAGTATCAATAGGGTTTGAGAAGGGATTGATAGTGGCTTGAGTCAGCGGTCATGCTGGGTAGCTACCTTCTTCAGTTTGCCACTTCCACTCCATTATACAATTCTTGAACTTCAGTAGCCAAAATCCTATTCCAATGACATAACAGCAAAAACACTTTTCTTTGTCTTCATGGGGACTGACAGTTCTAGTATTTATAAGGAAATATTCTCACCCCACAAAATTTATTTCTACCTGTTACATTTTATTCACTCATTATGTATTTATCAGACAATGTTGATTTTTGTCTTTTTTCTTTAAGAAGCCTGCCTGACACTTTATGGCCAACACTCCCTTTCAAGAAATGGTTTTTGAAGTTCAGCTGCATCTTATATTTTAGTTTTCTGTAGAAAAGATAATAGTGTTTTTCATTGTTCTCTACTGTGAATGTGAAATATCTTTTGTGAAATATTGGTGAAAATTAAGTAGCTTCTACTGTGACATCATTTGAAGTTCAGTTGAATTTTTCAATGGCCATTTTTTAAACTAAGGCAATGTAGCACTTTACACTAAATGAGAAATAGAAGTGGACTTTTCAGCAAAGATTATTTGTGATTTATCATGTTATTATACTGATGCAGGAAGAGAGACAGAATGTAACCTTAGAGGACTTAAGTGAATGAGAGTGGTGGTCTACAGAGATCACTCACATGAATGAAGGCTGGTACGCAGACTCAAGACAAGCATAATTAGGATGCAGCCCTTATTCTTTTATTGATGTTGGAATGAAATGTTCTGTCTCTAATACAGAAGACAGACATCTTACAGCAGACTTCAACTCCCATTGAGACCCAGGAACTCTTCCACTGAAAAGCTAAACCTGCAAATCCCTCTTTAACTGATTTATTTACTAACATTCAGAATTTCTATATAAAAAAGATAAAAATTACTGGCCTTTTAAAATGGATAAGGTTTCCTTACTGTGAATGAAATCACTTTCTAGATCAGCATTAATCAGTGCTGGAACAAAGGTCTGTATTTTGCAGTTTACTACTGAACATTCTTACAGCATTCTTTTGTTTTAAAAGATTCAGAAAACCAGATATTCTTAAGGTCATAATTTGAATCTTCTGGGCTCATGTTTATATGAAAAGTAAATTTTCATAAAAATAATGTTTAAATCAGTTTAATTTTAGGAAATATATTTCTTATTTCAATCGACCTATGGGCAAATTGGTTGTAAAAATGTTAATGGTTTGAATTAATATTTAAATGCTAAACTGCAGAATAATAATCTATTTTTCTCCACTGCAAGACAGCTTTAGATTGTAAAACATACAGATCATTGCAGTAAGTTATTGAGAGGAAAATTACTAGAATAAGCTGTTTCACAAAGTATGAAAAAGCATTTTTAATTCATGCTGGCCCATGGAAAGATCACAGCACCAGTATCACGCCAGTCCAGCATCAGTAGTCTGACATCAGCTCTGAAGCATTGTGGAATACACAGTTCATATTAACATTGGCTAAATTAAGGAGCATTTTCTTTTGATTAACAAAGTTGTGGTCACAATTCTGTAAATTGCATCCAGTCTCCAGTGCGCTGAATGTCTTGACTTCAGTCCAAAAGCTGTCTGTCACAGCCGTATGAATTGTGCCAGTCTAGGCAGAGGGACTCTTCTTTGTGAAATTAAGCACATTCACTCAGGTTTTGCAGGACTGGGATCCCCACAGGATCAGTCTTATGGTGTAAAGTATTTCAGTTGATTAAATAAAGCATAATCCTTTTTCTCTTATGCTTATGCATAGATTTCCAGTCCCTTATGAAATAATGGAAAAATACCTAAGACAATAAAAGACTTTCAGCTAGCAGCTAGAAAACAAAACGCTAGCACAGATCTCTAATACTATTGTGTGCTTCCCTAAAATGACTGTATTTTATGGTGTCAGGTTCTAGGTATATTAGGTCTAACAACAATTGGAGTATTCCAATTGTTTTCCATGCTGTTGCTGAGATGCACTGTCCATTTATAAATACTATTACTATGTTCTTTACTTAGAACAAACCTCATTTTTGTCTTGTCTGTGTTTCCACAGCACTGCAGTGCTGATGAATCAGTTCTCTTACAGGATGAGCTCAGAACTCAGCTTCTGTATTTCCAAGAGCAGGCTGTCGGGATTTTATGGCATTTCTAATGTGGGGACATAGCAGAGGGAGGCAGAAGAGTGGAGTGATGGAAAAGCCATACCAATGAAACAGAACACCTTTTTGAAATTAGGTCCCAAAATTACTCCTGTCAATTCTATTTTAACTATTTAGTTACCTCAGAGTGCTAGATTATGTATGAAAAGTTTTGTTTCTTTAGCAGTTGGAGCAAAGAAAACAAAGAAGCAGGAGTTCCCTTCTTATCAGGTTTTGTATAAATTCAACTGAAATTCACCTTACAGAATGGGTCCTAAAGGGTTACCAAAACCTTTTCTCTTCAGACATTACATTTCAGTCACTCTCTTCTGTTCCAACATCATGTAGTTGGCACCTGAGCTGACAGCTTGCAGCTGCCAGTGATTTGATGCCTCTCAACAGCAAACCCTTTTTGTTTTATCTCTTTTTGGCTGATAGTTGTGAGCAGTGTCTTACAGCTGAATGAATACTAGAAATTTTATTAAGTTTTGGCTGTGTACCTGTTCTTTGCTAATATCTTTTAGAAGGGTTTGTTTTAATTTATTTTTCATTTGTTGGTCTGTTACTGTACTGTATAATAACTTATGTGGTTAATACTATTTGTTTTGCTTTAATTTTTATGTATTTTTTAAAATGTAATCAACCCAAGCACTTTAAGCAACAATGTCAATCTTGTGAAATTCCAATCAGCTTAATATTTTGCCTTTCTCTTGCTGCTTTTGGAACTGTTTGCTTGTGATCCAATATCTCTAGTTACAACTCAATTTCCTTTTTTAGGCTTGTAGTCCTAGCTGGGTTGTAAAATTGGAAAGCCCAAGCATTTTCATACACATTTGTTCATGTATAAGACGTACCTGATGAGTTGCACTCTGCACATTTCACAGCCTCTTGCGCTCTCTGCCTGCTGACCCATCTGGGGATGACTGCAATACTTCAATCTGTGACACAGTTTATCAATGACTAAAATTTAGAAAAGCTCTAGTTCTTACAGGAGAATTCTCTTTTACCAGACACAGGGTCAGCTGTCAGTCCGCTGATAATACAGGTATTGCTCTCTTCGCTGCTTTATAAATGCTCTGTTTGGTCACAACTGTGAATAATCTGATGAGCCACAATTACTCTTGGCTACTGTGTGTGTGCTGGCAAGGAGAGCAAATTTTTGCATCTCTCTTCTCTTCACTTGGGCCAATATGAAGCAAAGAGATAATGAAGTAAGATAAATGCTTGTGTAAAATGATGGGTTTTAGAGGGCAGCATCTGTGGTGTCCATATCAGAAAGCCAGTGACTTTCTGTGTTGTTAATGCAAGGGTTATTCCTAGTGCTTTAGATACTGTATTTTCTTTGATCAGTGAAAAGACCAGAACGTTTTCTTGTTACATCTGTTCTGATCCTGAGGTGTTTCTTCTGAATTTAACATGGCCCTTACTATGTAAATAGCCCTTGGCAAGGCTTGATAGACACCCATTTAATTTCTTTTCAGTTAGTATGCATTACTTCAAAGAGATTGCTTGAACCTGTCTACAAAATGTATTCAGATAGCACAGTTCTTTTGCATACAGGGTCAAATAACACCTATCAGGAGGTATATGCCCACCTGATGGGACCATCTGGCTAAACCCACACCATTTTACATACTAAAGATTCTTAACCCTCTAGGAGGTTTTGTTGCTGGCTTTGCCTGACTGATTTAATACAAAACTGCAAATAACTCCCTTTATTCATGATCTCTTGCTATAATTCTTTAATAAATTCTGTTTCATTTGGTTACCAAGACTTGGGATTATTGTACTATGTAAAACAAATTGTGTGTGCCATTCACTGCAGTCAATTTAACAGCCTAGTGCTCCTGATGAAGGTTGTGGCAGGTGGCAAGAATATGAAAAAGTAACTTTTCTGTGATAGCACAGTAGCTCTGTAGGAGAAGCTGGACTGACATGCAGCTTCCTAATCTCCATCCTCTAGATAATCCTGACCCTTCTCATAGGATTTCAGAGTGGCGGGACTAAGCCCCTCATGAAGACATCTTGCAGTTCACCAAAACATTGCTTGCTGCAGTAGATAATTAATGAGTATGTGGAACCCCTCTGTCCCCACTCCCCAGAATCTCATTAATTGGTACACATCCCTTGGAGGGGCTGAGCTTAAACCTCAGCTTTGTATTTGCAATGGTGTTCATGTTTGAAATGTCCCAGCCCAGACTCTGGCCACATACTAAATTGTTTCCGTCCTCTCTCAACTCTCATTCTAACAGCAAGAGCAGCATCAGGGATGCCATGTTACAGGTGCCAGTGGTTTTCCTGGAGCCAATTTTCTAATCTCAGTGGCTTTCATTTAAAAAGACCTAACACAAGCTCCATTACTTATCATGATGCTTTAGGAGTAAAGCCACCACATCCTGTATGGATATGAATGTAGGGTAGCAGGAAGAAGAAAGACAAGACGATGAGATATGGAAAGGGTTGGTTTTTTTCAGAGGCTTTGAATATGTGCATCTGTTTGTAAATATATAGTCCCTCTCTACCTTGTCAAAATGATGCAATCATGATAAAACTACTTAAATTTTGTGCTAGTTTTTTAAATGGAATAAGAGGTAGCAGAATTATGAGGCACTCAGTTGAGGACACATACAAATACTGGATTTCTAGTACAGCATACAATACTCGGTGTATGTGTACAGATGAATATCTGCTCTTTTTAATCATCATGTACATGTAATTGAATCCTCCACCACCTGCAGAACTGTAAGATAAAAATCATGTTGGTTATTAAGGTTGTAACATAAGAAAACAGTATTTTCTCCTGTTAACATGTTTATATTTTACATAAAATAAACTCTGTAGCTGATCTCACTTCCATTCAATTTGCTTTGACTTCAGCTGGAGCCACACTAAGGCTGAGTATTGATGTTGATTGTTACACAACATGTTTTTGAATGTCAGATGCCTGTGTTCTTACAGATGACAAGACTACTGATGCTTGCTTTTTATTTCATTTAATGCGATCAACACATTTTAAGTGACTTCAGAGAATATTTCACCCCATGGGCTGATTGACTCTGAAGTATCTTAAAAGAACAAGTTTTGCAAGTATTTTCTGAGTTGTCTTGGTAGAATATACATACAATTGCATGACTGAGCTATACCCAGTTAAAGCACACCACCATTGGCCTTGTCAATGTTTGAGCTTCAATGTTTCAGCTAAAACTGAAGAGAATAAAAATCAGCCAGAATTGAACTACCTTTAACATCAGGAAACAATGAGCCCTTTCAGCCTGGGATTTTACCTGTGATTAATGGAGTGGAAAAGGATTTTGCTACTGGGGTCTAAAATTTTGTCCAAGAGTTGAAAGGTTCCTGTTGTCTTCTGATTTTCTTTTAGTTGTTCATTAACAATCACAATTTCCTTTCTCAAAAGTGAGGTAAATAAAGGACTGGAGTTTCTTGCTCCTGTCTAAATGGATTATCTTTATCCCTTCATATTCTTTTAAGGAACTGAAATCAAACTTAGCTATCAAACTGCATGTTGCATTTATAGCTAACACACTGTAAGATTTATGGCACATCAGACCATCTAAGGACTGGGTTGAAAAACATTTCATATCTTACAGTACCTGTTTCTTTTCAAATTAAAAATATTTGAAGTACCTTCAAATTTTTTTCTGGGTTATTAGGACATAAGCATTTGACTGCTTAGGATGGAGACAGAAATTTAAAACAAAGGAGATGACTGAACTAAATATTCACAAATTCATTATTTTAAAAGATTTTGAAGAAATAGAATTAATGGTGTACAAATTAAGAAACCAAGAAATAGTTGCCAGTGGCAGGATTCATATTCATTGTGTGTGAACTTCACTAGAACTTCTCTCACTTCAGAAATGCACTTTCCTAGAAGCTGTATGATGTTTAGCTGTATCTCTGTTCCTTATTCTTTTGTATGAATTAGATTAATCATTTTGCATTAAACTGGGTTATGTTCTGTGCACCAGCTAACCAGAGAAATGTTTAAAAATATAATTTAATCTGAATTGAAAAGTCAGATATGGTAGGAGAAATTTGTGAAGTTACTCATTTAAATGTAATCACCAGACTTCAAATTATATTTATTAGATATGACTAAATTCATGACATAGAAAACCACGTTCCACATTTCTGGAGATATCAATTTCCTTGAGTGCTTGTGTGCAACTTAAAAATCTAGTGCCAATTCAAGAAAAATAGGACAACCATTTTCAACACACACACACACACACACACACACACACACACACACACACACACACACATATATTTGGCAACAGGACATTTCCATTATCTGTTCTGGAAAAAACTTCCTCTTATTAATTTTTTTACAAGTACTTTGAGATCCCTGCCTCACCTCGTTAAATTTCACTCAGCCTCACTGCCTCACTGCACAATGCAGAGTTTAACCAGTCACAAACATTTCACCTGGTGCTAATAGTGCATTTCATCTCACCATGAATACAGAAATTGCAAATGAGTCAACACCCTGGAGTTTGCAGGTTGTCCCAGGATGAATGGAGAGACCTACCACGATCAAATAAAAGTCAAGAGGCAGAGGCTGATAAAGACTTTTTTCCAAATCACTGCAAGAGTAAAATAAAGAGGTCAAAGCTGAATGAAATTTGGAATAAGACAGAGTGAAACAGCCTTTGGATTTAATTTGACACACATATGAAAAGAAATATTCAAGTCATGTACAGAGCAGCACCAAAGATGTGGAAACAGAAGATACAGACATCACCCAGTATTGCAAATCAGACATCACAAATGCTTAGAGAGCAAATTTTACTATCAATCACATCACTATGGCTGTAAGGAAGCTCCAGGTAGGTTTGCAGCTTAACAGTGGGGTTAGTAATAGCAGAATCAGGAATAAAGTTTCTTATAGCATCCTCATACAAATTCTGGTGAGCAGAGCTGTGATTTCTGTGCAGCTGTAAGACGTGGTAATGTGTGGAACACTGTGAACACTGGAGAAGAACTACTACTATTGTTACTGAATGTGTGATTATCTCTGCTCTTTGAAAACAAGTTTCAGGAGCAAAATATAATCTTAAATTTTATTTATTCACTAATCATGTAATTCTCACTGTCATTTATGAAGCAATTTTCATCCTCAAGGTAGTTTACCTGATAATCAAATAAACTTTTAAGTCTTAATTTGGTGAAAATGGTAGAAACTGGGTAATGTGTACCAAAATCCTTATATATTTTAGATAACTTCAACTTGAGCTGAATCTGGCCACCACTCAGCTAGAACAGTTGAACTGTAGGAATATTTTCAAGAGCTCCTCAGTAGCTACCTTGATGATCACTTCTGGTGATGCCTGGAGAGGCTACCTAGAACAGGGGCTAGACAGAGCTAAAGGATAAAGGATAAAGGATAAAGGATAAAGGATAAAGGATAAAGGATAAAGGATAAAGGATAAAGGTAGGTATTTATTGAAAGCCTTTCACAAGTTACACCTTGGGCAGTGCAGGAGTCTCACAGACACTACACCCAAGGTGGACTACAATCACAAGTTTTTCAGACAGATAGAAGTTTGATCTATTTGCAAATCAGAGGTTAATTGTCCAATTACACCTTCCGGTAATGTAATCACATTCCCCCAGTTTACTCCCCCCAATTCACTTTTTGTTTATGTTTTTTGGGGCCTGAGACAGTAAGGTGTCCTTGAGTTTCAGGCCTATAGAAAAATTGTTTTGTCTGAATAAAATGGGCAGCTGACAGGCCATGGAGTTTTAGAGTTATACACTAAAGCAGTGCTTAAGTTTTAGCTTTTATATTGAAGAAAATAAAAGCTAAAACTTAAGGCATCACTGGATGCAGTTCAAAGTGCAGACCCTATAGCACACTGACCCACTAAAACCTGATGCCTTGCTCTCTCTAATGCAGCTCATCTTGCCTGGAATGCACTGGGACAGTTGAGGTTACTCAGGAATTTTGTCATTACAGCACTTCACTTTCCAAGGAATGGGTTGGTTTTCTTTTGTCCCTTCGTAACCATTAATTATTATACACTAGCAGAAAATATTAGGTAAAGCAAGGATGATGTAACTTATTTATGGTTTATTTCGCTTTCTTAATTCTGAATGTATATTTTCAGATGAATAAAAGTATTCTGGGGTGAGGTCACAGTCTGTTTTAATTCTGCAAGGTGAGTAATTGAGGCAGAGACCAGTGTTGACTAAGGCAGCAGCATGACACTCTCTTGCCCTTCAGAATATGGCCTTGAGGACAACATAAAGCCAAAAAAAATTCTTCCCCCTAACCTTTACAACTGTGATATTTTTAAATACTCAAGCACAGGTTGCTAATTCTACTGTTGACATTTATGGGATATTTCTGGCCATACTGCATCACTATCCTGTCATGCTGTTTCAATCAACATTGAATCAACCAAACTTTTGTATTAACATGCTTTAGAGTAATATTCAATATTTATATTAAATTGTATTTTTACTGTGACTTAGAGAACACTGTTCATTATAACTAAAATTACACATTCATACTTATTTATTGTTCCCAAATGCAGTTACAGAGGATGAGGAAAGACAATCAGTTTGTCCTAAAAGAAGTGGTACTGCTGAGCACAGACTGTGCCCAGCCAGTGTTTGGTGTGGTAATGGCTGTGAATAAAGGTTCACTGTTTCATGTCTCTGCTTAGTTGTCATGACACTTGTTAAAATAATGTACCTGGAAAATGTGTTTCCTTAATATAGTGAATCTCTGGCTCTCACTCTTGTGCAGCCAAACCCCACCTCCAGATGCTGAGCTGAGAACAAACCACTTCATTCATCATGCTCTAAATACAGTTGAACTTTATTTATCCAAAGGTGTTTTACTCAAAATCCCTGTAGTATAATAATGAGCCATATGTCCTAGGTGATTTTTTTTCATGAAACTGTGTTAAATTTTAATTCATTATACTATTTCTTAAGGAAAAAAACCCCAAGGTGCAGGTACAAGGTGGCAGTCTTCTAGTGACATTTGTGCCCTTTACATTGGGGTGTTGGACTTTTACTTCCTATTAGCCATTATGTACGGGCTACATTATTTTTCCTACTACTGCTGTGATGTTGGACAGTATCATCTACTATTCCAGCTCTCCTTGAATGGAAGATCACTTATCTTCTCTTTCTCCAAGGGATTGCAATGTCAGTCCACCAACTTCAGTAAATTTTGCAACCATTTATTAGCCGGTACTATTGGGTACATTCAAAGGACTCAGCCCTTGGGAGAGTATGTTCAGGAAAGCAGCAAGGGCTGCAGATTCGACAGGCAAATCTGAGCTTTCCATTCTTATCCTTGTCAAGAACTCATTTTATCACATGGGACAAAGAATGCAACCTCTCCCTTCCTCTGTTTCTCAACTGGAAAAAGGGTAAGCCAAGACCTATACACATCAGTGAACTATGGAGCCTAGATGAGAGAAGTAGAGGTTGCCACCTAAATTACTCTTACATGCACAATAATTAGGCTATCACATTTTTTTTCCTTTTTCAGGCACTCATCAGTTAATAATTGCAGTACTCCTTTCAAGGAGGGAGATTTGTAAACATTAAGAGTAGCTAACTACTATTTGACAGAAGATCTTTACAAGACAACAAACAAATGCCCAGAAGTGGCAGGAATTAATACAGTGATACAAATGTACTCCAAATTTGTCATAAAAGGTCAGTACTATTGGATTTTATTTCCAAGCAACATTCCCCCTCACAAGGCCAACCGAAGTCAGAGTAAAAGAATACCAGGTCCAGCTCTCTGTCTCTCACCATGACTACATCTAGTGGTTTCAAAGGAAGGGGAGAAAATTCTACAGGAGACAGCT